ACCATATCTTTGCACAGAACTAACCAGAATCCTAGCATCAAAATTCTTACAGTTATGTGCAACTAACACAGAATTTAATGGAATCCATTCTATAAAACTCTCAAGAGCATCTTTCTGTGATAATGTTGGTACTAAATTAAAGTTATGAAACAGTTTACCACATGTATATGTCAACCCAGTTACATTGGATGCTGCTGGATGTATTGGCTGACAGGGGTCAACATACTCATCAAATATTTTACCATCATAAGATGCAGCAATCTGACAAATTGAGGAATCAATACCAAATGATGTTGTTTCAAGATCAAATACAACAACAGGAGAATCTTGAAGTATTTTTACTGGAAAACTTACAGGAGCATTAACTGGTTCAGGAATACATGTAATATCAATGTCATTTCTAATTGCAATGTTTGTGTTGTATGTGTCACCTTCTCTTAACTCAGTAGCATTACATTTTTTGTTTCGCTCCTCTTTTAATTGTATACGTCTAAGTTTGTATTTTTTGTTTTCTGTCTGCATCTTTCTTTTTCTTGCTTTATTGTCTAGTTTTATTCCCCTCACCTGTGAAACAATTCCAGGAGATAGTCCATTTTCTTTGTTAACACTACAAACATATGTGTATCCACTATTTTTCTGTGAAACTGCTGCTGCAATGCGGATATTTAAACTTTCTGATTTACTGTAATGTCTGTTTTTTGGTGCTTTAGAAGCAACAGTGTTATGAAAACTTTCATTGGCTTGTGTTGAACTCATAAGAGAAAGTTTATTTGCACATGCAGCATAAATTTCAAAAATAATTTTAAATCTTTACGCATTTCTACCCCAGAAACATCTTTACCATATGGAAGACGTTTGTGGCAGTAAGTATCTGGCTGACGTTGGTAACCACACCATTTACGATCTCATGATTCATGAGATCCAAATGCATGGGGAACAATGGCAAGTTTGTTATTGATTAAAGCTGGTCTACCTTAGTTCTGAGTAACAGCATAGGAAAAACATGTTTGAAAATACTTGATAACACGTGGTGTTAATATTTTGTGAGTTTTTGAAAGTTCATATTTCCTAGACCTTTTTTGGTGTGGTTCATATCTGGTCTCTTTTCAATATCTTGGTTAATTTCTGTTCTTAGTTTATGAATGGTTGTTGTATCCTCATGTATAGTTAAATATACTGTTTTAGCACTAGTTTGGTTAATAGTTTTTACCACTTCAACAGCAATATCTCCTTCCATAGCTTTGGAACTCCCTGTCCAGTTTTTACGACAGTCATGTTTTCTTGTGTTCATATCCCCATTTTCACAAATGTTGCATCCCTTTGAACGCACAGCATATCCCATAATTTTACCAGTTGCTTCACCTATAGCAGCACCATGACCTGACAGACTGTTATATTCTTTGCCAGAGCCACGGCGCTGCCATGCACCATCAAAGGAAATATCAACTTGATTTTCATGTGAACTAAGTTTTTGTTCTTCAGTTAGAGCTTTAACACACAGTCGTTTTGCAACATTCTCAATACCAACACCTGCTTCTCTTTCTCTTTTCTTTAATGTCTTGTGGTGTATACCCGGTATATTCAGTGAGGCAAGGAAGTTATTCACATGAGTCTGTACCATTCCTATGTTATGAAATAAGAAAAAAACTTAGATTAACATTTTATAAGATTAGTTTTTGCTGCCCTACATTACTAAAAGTATGATCACCAATATATGACCATAAGAGGTTAATAATTGAGATGAATCCTTAGTTTGCCTGTAAATCTAACCGGTGGCTAATTTGGTATTTACATCAAATATAGGTAATCCTTGGTTTGATTTAGCATTCCTATGTGTCGAACCTGTATACACATGGTTTACAGCACCATATCTCTGGCAAGGTATATACAGTACACTACCAAGACCATATCGTCTCTCCTCCTGGCAATCCACCAGAACAAGGTGTTCACAACACAC